CAGCAGCCTGGGGGAAACCGGACTGCTGAGCCCAGAGTGGACCTGCTTTGGTCAGTTTCATTATTTACATACCCAAGAAACATTTTCTCTGAAGAGTTTCTTGACTAAATAAAATATAAGAGAGACTGCCAAATGCTTCCTAAGATCCCTTTTAGAACCAATCTGCTATTTTTCATATTCCCTCTTTTATAAGCCTAAAAGTATGATAAAATTTCCCTAGTTATCTTTATTTTACTTCAGTTTACAAGCTGATATTAACATATTTGCATTTACATGCACTGGATTTTTCTTTAAATGACTCAATGCTAAATTTATTACCATTGTATTACTTTTTATTACTTTGCTTTAATAATCAGTATTAGATAAGTCAATTTACACAATGGCCTTAGTATAAAACAAATCAGCCTGAAGTCAGTTCCCTAGTGCATGTTGTTATCTTAACATTGCCACATTCCATGAAAGGGCTAAAAGTTTGAAAAACAATTAAGAAATATTTTGCCATTTGGAATGTTATCATTGCAAAACTATTATTTCATTTTTCAAATAGGAAAATATGAGATTCTGTATAAAATATAAATGTAAAAGTGATCTATGTCTGTAGTTATACTCTAAAAAATAATAGCCTTCATTGCTTCTGTAACTGAAAAAGAACTGAAAATACATTAAACACTTAACTTTAATACAAAAAAATAGGGCTAACAGAAGTAGCAGAAGAAAATTAAATGAAACAGATGAAACCTGAAAATTGTGAATTAGAAAGAAAACAAGTATGCTGATTGAAAAATCTGCTTCTATGGCAAGAGCAATAATAAAAACATCCCTCTCATGTGTGATTAAGACAAAAGGAAAAAAATACATATGCCATTAGAAATTATAAAGTAGATATACTCACATTAGTGGGAGCAATTAGAAAATTATAAAGATCATTATGTTGACTTCATGTTGCTGATTTTGCACATTCAATAAAATGAGTAGTGTTATAGAACAATAATAAATAACTCCAAGTGACTTGAATAGAAGAAGCAAACTTGAACAAATCAAGATCTTTGGGTGGGAAAATTTTTGTTTACTATTAAAATAGAAACTAGGGGCAGGTGGTTTTTTTTCTTTTCTTTTTTAATTAGTTGAAATATTCTCATGACAGAAGAATGGAAAATCTTACTTTTATAATGATTTTATTACCAAATACTGATGAAGAAGGCAGAAATAAAAGATTAACCAAGAATATAAACATCTAGGAATAAACTACAAAACCTGTGGAATCATTCTCCCAGGGAATTATTAAACATTATTAAAAGACACTAACAAATATCTAAATAAATGGACACATATACCAAATACATAGATTAGAAGACTAAAAATTGAAATATCAATTCTAGCCATGTTTAATACATAGATTTAATCCAAATTAAAATCTCTCTCTTTTGGTAGAAATTGACTAAGTAATTTCTAAATTGGGAGATGCAAAGTTTCTTAAATAGTCAAGATAATTCTGAAGGAAGAAAAATCATTAGAAAAACCTATCTAATAAGTAAAATGTACAGTTGAGAAAGGAAAGTGAATCTCTAACTATGTATATCAGTTTGCATGACCTATGAGCATATTGGACAATCTGATTCAAGTTTAACATCCTCAATTGGTTCACTATTCTCCACTGAAAGTCACTCAGTCGTGTTCAACATTTTGCGACCCCATGGACTACGCAGTCCGTGGAATTCTCCAGGACAGAATACTGGCATAAGTAGCCATTCCCTTCTCCAGGGGATCTTCCCACCTCAGGAATTGAACCCAGGTCTCCCACATTGCAGGTGGATTCTTTACTAGCTGAGCCACCAGGCAAGTCCAAGAATACTGGAGTGGGTAGTCTATTCCTTCTCCAGTGGATCTTCCTGACCCAAGAATTGAACCGGGGGCGGGGTGAGGGGGGAGCGGTTTCCTACATCGCAGGCAGATTCTTTACCAGCTGAGCTACCAGGGAAGCCCATTCTCCACCGAGCCTTGCCTAAATTAGAAGCATTACCTGATGTTATTGTTTGGAGAAGCTGTACCGGAACCTTAAATCTGAAAAATCAATAGAAAGTATGCTTTTCTTCTTCTAGAAGTTGTGCCAGCTGTTCAGACTATTTGGGATCCCACCTTATATAATTCTCAATTATTTTTTAATGGATTTGTATTGAATTAAGTGCACTGTGAAGAGACATACCTGTGTCTCTGATAATCTTTCATCTAATTTATAAACTCTCTTAGGTCATGGGTTGTATAAAATTCCATGATTGAAACCTAGTAAGAAGAAATGAATTAAAGAATGCCTTAGGGAAATTAAGACCTAAAGTAATTAAAATATTCCAATGAGGCTTAGTAGTCAACATTCCTTCTCAAATATATACATAGTTCTTCCTATTATCTCAACTCCAGAAAATTAACTACAACTGGAGTGTCCTAGGAAGTTTTAAAATAAAACTCAACATCAAAGAAATGTTGCATTTTCTGTCAATTACTGGCATAACCTTCAAGCAACCATCTTCGCTCAAATAAGAAAGTAGAATAGACATAGTTAAAATGAAGGGAAAGCAGCAATATAAAAATATACCATAGTATTCTTGGACATGATTACTTTTATTCCTAATAGAGATTTTTAATTTTTATGCCTTTCTTAATTATAGGTCATTTAAGTGTTTCTTTTTTATTTAAACTTATTTTAACATAAAATATTGAAATTGTGATAAATAGCATCTGAAATTAAGTTTGTTCTCATTAATTTTATTTCCATATTGTGCACATGTATAGCTATAAGCATCAACAGATCAATAAGGGCCTTTATTTGTGTGATCATGGTACAGTAATGTTTTAAAGAAGATAGCTTATTTTTAAAACAAGCTTTCTGATATAAGCACGTGAAATTACATGTTGCCTAAAAATTACCTCTACATAATAAGGGAACTAGGACAAATGGAAGGGACTATGTATGAAACAAGAATGTCCATATGTGTTGATTGTTAATGCTTGGTCCTAGGGACCTAGAAATTCATTACCCTGCTCTGTTTTTATATATGTCTGAAATTCTTCATAGATTTCTTTTTAAAGTTAGGGTAAAATAAAGGCATTTCCGGGCTATTGAACGAGCTAAACTAAATCAAATTCAAATTCCTGTATTTCCAAAATTTTGGCTATAAACTTTCCAATTGTGAAGGTTTCTAGGAAAGAACTGTATTTTCCCCCTTATTTTTAAAATATGTTTAGATAAAAGCATCTGTAGCTAATATAATTTTTTTATCTACCATCAGATCACTTTCACATGTACTAATAATGTAACTGAACTTTAAGAGGTTTGCTAGGTTGAGGACTTATTTTAAGATATCAGAAATTAAGATTTCTTAAGGATTTTAGGTGACAGTACATTAGATAATACAGCTGTTAATATAATGTAAAGTGAATGTGCTAAATTTTAGGATAATTAAAGATAATGAGTAAATTAAATGATTGAAAGTATGAGCAATTTTAACAAAATTTTTAAAAAATTGTCTTACTCTGAAAACTCTGTAATAAAGAAATATGAAAAACATGCAGGCTAATACTTGCAGTGATTTGTTCTTGTGCTTTAAAGATGCTATTGGAAATATGAACCTGATTTTTCTCACTAGGATGCTGACTTTAACTGTCACCCATCTCTATTTCAATGTAATGATTCTAACATCATTCATTGGTTTATAACAGTCCTGGCAATATTAAAACAGAAATTAATATATACATTCACTGATCTAGACAGAGTTTTACTGATGAGAATCAGAAGTTTTCTTCTTTAAACAGAAGAAAGATTATTGAATCAACAGAGAAGTAACAGAATCATATGAGGAATTTATAAGATTAATTTGTAGTAATATTATCTTCCTGCAAATTAAAACAGACAATGTATTCAACATAAGACAAAAAAAGATGCATAATAAGTTTTAATTACTTATGCTGAAAGGTCCTATACTCTACGTCATATTGACTATTTAAATCTTCCCAATCTAAATGTTCAGGACCTTTGCCCTGTTAGAAAACAACCAAGTGAGTAAATGCAAGTGATTTTAAATCAAGGAGACTGCGCAATTACTTTAGGGAAGAGAAAATTAGCTTATCCATTAGCATTATAGGTTGCTGTAAGGGAAAAACAGGCTGTCTGTTCATTCAATTAACTCTCAACCTCAAGGCAACCAATCATTTCATTAGTAACATTGTTGATTAAGCAGCTCTGAATTTAAAAAAAAAAAGCTGTCTTTAGACAATAACACCTTTGCACTGTTTCTCTAGAATTGCTTTGATCAATTTGGTACATTAGTCAATTGTCAAAAGAGGTAAGTGTTTTATCTAACAGATCTTGATCAATTTTATGAAAAAGTTTATGATAAAAAGGACACTGTAAAATTAATTTTTCTAGTCAAAATAAGTTTAAACATAAACATTATTTCAAAGCATAATGTTCAATCTGTATTGAAGTTATTCAATAAAGTAACAGATGAAAGTGTAAATCCTTGACAAAACCCACTGCAATGTTGTAAAGTAATTAGCCTCCAACTAATAAAAATAAATGAGAAAAAAAAATTATAAAAAAAAAAGAAAGTGTAAATCCTGAATAGTATCATCTGCTTTAAACAAAGCAAACATTTTCACTTTAGACTTTGTAGAGGAAATCATTTTTCCAAACAATTACATGACACAGCATTGCAGTTATCACTTACTGTTAAAAATTCATACTTCCATAAGAAAACATTTTACATTTTTAGATGAATATAATTTCCATCAATGCCAGAAACTGACACCAAGCATGCATCTTACGTTTTTTTTTTTCAAGTATATATAACCTTAGGCATTTTTCTTTACTTCTAAAACTTCATTTCATGAGCAAAGTATTATGATTGTGTTTTCAGAAACACTTCAACATGCAAACTGCTTACATAATGATGCACATATATTGTTATATATGATATTAAATATAAAAAGAAGAGTAAGAATTTTACCTGGTTAATCACCTGTGTTGGTCTGTCTGAAGCTGGCTAGAACAGATGGATTCCCAGGCAATGTCTTGTCGGATGATCCTGAGTGAGGGTGGCCGCAGTTTGAAGGGGTGGGACTTGTCTTCAGCAATGAATTCCCAAGGGAGTGCTTCCAATCAGGGAATGCTGTCGCAGACAATGAAACCATTCTCCATTTGTTGACCCTAGTTTTGAAAGTACGATCTGCTGTGGGTGTATTCAAGCATCAGTGGAGGGACTGACATATATTTCACTGAAGTTTATAGCATGCAGAATATTTTGAAATAAGGATTACATGAAAATGAGACTGATCTGTCATTTCTTGGAAGTTTTTCCACTGTGTATTAATTTCTTCTAATTTCCCCCTGTTGGGACATACAGCACAAAAAGGCTTAACTCCAAGCAGTATAATCTCTCACATAATGATACTGGGAAGCCCTCTGAAACAAAGCTCATGGATGGATACACACCATCTCTGCCCATGAAAATTTGGATGATGGGAGGGGAGTGGAATCTCCCTATTTTTGGAGCCTCCTTATTCAATTCTGGAGCAGGAAATGGCAACCCACTCAGTTTTCTTGCCTGGGAAATCCCATGGACAGAGGAGCCTGGTGAGTTCGTCTGTGGGGTCTCAAAGAGACACGACTGAGCGACTAATACACTTACCCAGTTCAGGATGGTATTAACATGTTAGACATCCTCTATATCTGATGGTTATTTATGCATAGTATTGTCACCATAATTGCATACAGTCATACATTTAATTTCTGCATCACATGTAGCTTTATTTGACTATCCGTCTGAGAGATGCATTTTCTGGAAGTATTGTGTAGCCCTTCTAGTTTGTTTTGACACTTCTGTCAGTTCTTTTAAGTATATATCTAGATTCCAACAACTCCCACCACTCTGACCGGGGACTCACTTTCTAACTAGCTTGTCCCTTGCTGCACCTTAGACCCACAGTCTATTCTCCATACAACAGCCTGGCTGATCTTGTAAAAACCTGTCAGATCATGCCATTCTCCTGCTTCTCCTATAAGGTCCTACTCATAATAAATGATCTTGAAATTCTGTAGTATCTTCCAACCTCATCCAGAATAAAATAAAAATTCTTAGTGATGGTCTGCAGTAGCCTGGCCCCTCTCCGCAGCCCCCTGACCTCCCTTCACACTCTCACGCTTTCTGCACTGTCTCCCTTGTTCCACGCGCTCTCGGCACCCACGCCTTCCTGCCCTTCCGCAGAAGTGTCAAGGGCACTCCTGCCTCAGGAACTTGGATGTGCTGATTACTCTCCTGGGATACTCTGCTCCACATGGCTTCCTCTGCTTTTAATTTTTCAGTTCAAATGTCGGTTTAACTAAGCTATCCTCCTTAACTGCCTGTGAAAATAGCAAGTACACCTTCATCACACTCTCCTGACTTTGTTTTCTTTTTTCCGTCATAGCATTTAGTTATGTGTGCGTTTTTGTTTACTAGTTATCTCATCCAAAAGACTATAAACTCCCAGAGAAAGGGGACTTTGATTTATCTTAGCATCTTGAATAAGGCTTTGCAGAATAGGTATTGAATAAATGCCTTTAAATGAATGAATGATTAAGCTTTGCTTTTTCTTCCCCATTTTATAGAGTATTCTAACCAATAGAATGTAATAGAATAAATGAAATATCAGTCTATTCTAATGATAGCTTATGTTACTGTGATAGTTATGACAGCATAACTATCTATTGTATCTTAAAATCTCAGAACCTGAAAACCCCTTAACATTCATTGTGATTCATCTTCTGATACCAGGCTGGACTGCATTTTAGTCTGAAATTGAGCCCATGGACAGTTTTTTTTTTCCTGATTTCTTTTATATTTGCTCAATTGGCTTAATTACCTTTATTATAAGAAAATCTTTTCTCCATGAGAACTGGTTTCTTTCCACAAATAATCTAAGAAATTCTGAAAGTTTTTAATAGACTTTTTTTCTACCTTAAAATGAAGCTTCTTTGAAGCACTAATTTACTGTAGGTCTTAATTTATTCTTTCACAGTGAAAATTTATTTCCATGTTCATTTTAGCAAAATCTGTACATCTGTATTAAAACATCTATTTACTAGAGATTAAAATATGAGGTGTCAATTTTGTGAAACAGCATCCAAGTAAGGATAGCTTTACCCTCCTTTAAAGCGAGAATTAACTTTCACATTTTAGCTCTGGTTTGCCCCAGACAATGAGAGGGAAAATGGTGCAACCAACATGTGAATTTCAATTTGTGAAAGGCCTCTATCAATTTGTAACCGTTTTAAAATTTCTGCCGGGTCATCGATAAGATATGGGTGGTAATGTGAGAGAGCAAATGTGTTAGAACTCAGGGGATGTAGAATGCATAGGACTGGAGTGGTTTCAGAAGGATTGAAATGTTTAGATGTTTCATTAGTTTGGTTAACATATATATAGCAGTGCATTTGCGGTAGCTATAAACATGGTAAAACAGTTGGAGGCTGGACAATGCCAGAGCAGTCCTGGTCTGATGGTTTTAAAATGTTTCCACATATTTTAAAACTGTTTATTTATCTGGCTGCATCAGGTCTTGGTTGTGGCACGTGGCGTCATCATCGTGTCACGTAGGATCTTTCCTTGTGCTGCACAGACTCCTGGTTGTGGTGCTTGGGCTCAGTAGTTGTGGTGCTTGGGCTCAGTAGTTGTGGTGCTTGGGCTCAGTAGGTGCAGGGCTTGGGCTCAGCTGTTCTGTGGGTGTGTGGGATCTTAGTTCTGTGACCAGCGATCGAACCCACACCCCCTGCATTGCAAGGCAGTTTCTTAACCACTGGACTGTGAAGGAAGTTCCCCAAATATTTTTTATTGGATAGTTCTTTTAGGATTTTACCAAGGACCGAGTTTGTCTGTCTGTGTCTCTATTCTCTGTCTGTTTATCTACTTAACCTATCTAGCTATCTTTATGTAGCCACGCACAAGAAAGAAACTCAGAATATTTAACAACAGCCTTACCTGAGGCAGTAACGAAATGGAATGAAATCTGGCCGTAATCCTTGGAGCGGAGTCCTAGTGGCTCCTTAATTTGCTAAGCATCACTCTGATTTGTTGGGTTACAGAGACAAGGGTCCCAAAGTAGGTGTTGAGTTCCATAAAGGTGTTCAGGACCCTTGATACAGCGACCAACTAATGACCAGCTAGCTAATGACCAATTGGTTGGGAAGTGTTTTGCTACTTAACAAGTGGTGGGGTTTCTTAAATTATGTAATCTCTGCCTTTTAAAATTATACATGCACACACAAAACAAATTTAAAAGATGGAGTAAAAATAAAACAAAAATTGTGTATATGTGCACAGTTACTAGTTAATTACTAATCGCAATAAATTCTCAGAGCAAGGTTTCTTGTTAATGTTCAGTACAGTTCAGTTGCTCAGTTGTGTCCGACTCTTTGCTACCCCATGAAACACAGCACGCCAGGCCTCCCTGTCCAACACCAACTCCTGGAGTCCACCCAAACCCATGTCCATTGTGTTGGTGATGCCATCCAACCATCTCACCCTCCATCGTCCCCTTCTCCTCTTGCCCTCAATCTTTCCCAGCATCAGAGTCTTTTCAAATGAGTCAGCTCTTTGCATTAGGTGGCCAAAGTATTGGAGTTTCAGGTTCAACATCAGTCTCTCCAATGAACACCCAGGACTGATATCCTTTATGATGGACTGGTTGGATCTCCTTGCAGTCCAAGGGACTCTCAAGAGTCTTCTCCAACACCACAGTTCAAAAGCATCAAT